CCCACTTTTCTAACCTGTCCAGGTCTGCCTGTAATTGTTCCCTATCCTCCAGAGTGTACACTTCACCCCACAATTTAGTATCATCTGCAAACTTGGACAGAGTACATTTCACACATCACAGATCCCTTCCAGCCACTTACAATCTATGAATCATGGGTGCTCACTAATCTACAACGGTGATTATAAAAGTTTCTTTACATGGGTTACCTTGTGTTTAATTAGTTAAGGGATCGTATACTGATACTGTTTTTCTTAAAGCCCTTTGTTGCTGTTTTTTTCATGAACCTCATTCTGATGACTACCTGGGTCATAATGCTCACCTTTCGGTCTTCCTGCCAACATACTTCAGTGTGACCCTGCCACTACTGTACATGTGTGACAACCATGGGGCTTATTTGCATACCTCTATTGGTGTGCAAGGTCCTTATTTTTATATATAAAATAGGGATCTTGGCTTAGCCTATTGGCTAAGATCAAGGTAAGACTGAGGGCATCTGAACCCCAGGCCTGGGGCTTATATGCAGGATGCCTGCCTGGATTTGGGGAGTATCTGAAACTCTAGACCCATGGGTCTGGGAAAGAGGACACTTGCCCCATGGTACAGCCACACAGACTTGATGACTGAACTCTGTTCAGTCGAATTTTGGAACTTGACTATTGTGCTTTGCCCAACTGAATTTGGAGTTGATTTTGCCCTTGAAATGAAATTTATATATAAAAAAGTCTTCCATTCAGGTGAAAAAGGAATAAGTATAGGTGAGATATAAATCTCTTCAATGGGTTCATTTGGTTCTAAAAAACTGAATTACTTAGTACTAGAAGGTCAGGTAGAACACTGTACCTACTAGGTTCTAGAAAAGCTGCGATTTCCAAGATTGCTAAAGGCCTGAAAAAGCTGGGTTGTTTCTACAGCCAAAAAGATAAGCACTGCCCCTGGGAGTGGTGAGTAGTAGTGACAGCAGTGGTGGAGCAGCAGCAGTGGTGGTGTTCCTCGGTGATGGTGAATAGAAGTGGAGCATCGCCTTCCAGTGGTGGTGAAGAGCAATGACTGTAGTGATATAGCACCAAAAGTAGTAGAATAGAAGGAGATGGTGGTTGAGGAATAAAGAATAATAGAAAATTAGGGTTGGAAGGGACCTCAGGAGCTCATCTAGTCCAACCCTCTACTCAAAGCAGGAGCATCTCCAACTAAATCATTCCAGCCAAAGCTTTGTCTTAAAAACCCCCAAGGATGGAGATTCTACCACCTCTCTGGGTAACCTGTTCCAGTGTCTTGCTACCCTCCTAGTGAGAAAATTCTTCCTAATATCTGACCTAAACTTCCTTTGCTGCAACTTGAGACCATTGCTCCTTGTTCTGTCATCTGCCACCACTGAGAACAGTCTAGCTCCATCCTCTTTTGAACTACCCTTCAGGTAGCTGAAGGCTGCTATTAACTCCCCTCTCAGTCTTCTCTTCTCCAGACTAAATAAGCCCAGTTCCCTCAGCCTTTCCTCATAAATCATGTCCCTAAGCCCTCTAACTATTTTTGTTGCCCTCCGCTGGACTCTCTCCAATTTGCTCATGTCCTTTCTGTGTGTGTGTTTGGGTGGGGTGGGGGCAGGAACTGAACACAGTACTGTAGATGTGGCCTCACCAGTGCTGAACAGAGGGGAATAATCACTTTCCTTGACCTGCTGGCAACACATCTACCAATGCAGCCCAGTATGCCATTAGTTTTCTTGACAACAAGGACACACTGCTGGCTCATATTCAGCTTATTGTCCACTGTTACCCCAAGTCTTTTTCTACAGAGCTGCTGCCCAGCCAGTCGGCTCCCAGACTGTACTGGTGCATGGGATTGTTCTGTCCTAAGTGCAGGACATTGCATTTGTCCTGCCTGGACAAAAACCTCACAGGTGCAAGCAGAGGCAACGGTAGTGGCTCTGGCATTGTGGCATCCTCCAGCCATTTCCCTGGGTCTCTGAATCTGCCTTCTCTCTCTTACTCCTCTTCTTTGAAGCATACCTTCTCTAGCAAACTTACCTGGAAGCTGGCCTGTTTGTTGCTCATTAGTGCCAAAGGGCTCCTTTTTTTCCTGCTTCCTCATGCCAAGCTGAAAGGCACTCCCCACAAAGGGGAGGCGTGCATGCACACACACGCACACAGACGCAGATGCAAACTAGCTTAGGAACTAGCATGAAAATTGCTTACCCTGTTTGCAGCCCCTGTTTGCTGGCTCCCTGGTCACCTTACAAGTCTCCTTTTATACCTTGCTGGGGCTGGACTGGCTCTGCCCCCTCCCTGGGGCTTCTGTCAGGCCTAGGCAGCAATCAGTCTGTAACACTCCCAGCTTTTCAGAGCACAAGCCCCATAAACACACAGCCCACCAAACAATCTCTGAGCAAACCAAAGGCTCAGGCAGCTCTGGATCACTTACCTTCCTTGGGCAGGATCTGGTGCCTGGTGTCTGGATTCTCTCCCCCTTCTTCCTCTTCCTGCACTGATGAAGCAGGAGGTGACAGCTGTGGTGACACAGGGGAAACAGCTAAACTGTTTAGCCAACAGCTTAGCCAACAGCTAAACTGGTCCTACTGATTATACCAAGGGTAAGCAACCCCCAGCACGCATGTCAGAACCTGGCACTTGAGGCCATTTTGCTTGGCACACCACAGCTGGGCCTGGGCCTGGGCCTGGGCCTGCGCAGGTTGCTCGTAGCAGGTGGCTGGGAAGCTGCAAACCCTGCTGTGAGCAGCCTGGGCTCCGTGGCAGGCAGCTACTGCCCAGAGCCTGGGTCGGCTGTGGCAGGCAGCTGGGAGGCTGCAAACAGCTGCACCGGGATCTGGAGCCGTGGCTCAGCTCCATGGCAGTGATGTGTGCACGCACGTCATGGGGCATATGGTGGGGGAGAGGCCAGGGCACTGCAACCCCAGCCCATCCTCCGCTGTCCACACCAAGGCACATGTGCAGTTGCCACCAGCAAAGAGCCAGACTCCACAGGAGTGGTGGAGGCTCCACAGGAGTTTGAGCCAAAGATAATCAACTTGTGTGATACCCCTAAGTTGAACTGCCTTTGTTACTGTCATCTGGTACCTGGCAGAAGGGTTAAATCAGGTTTGCAGGAGACTGTGCCTTTTTGATTGTACATTCTATAGCAGGGGTGGGCAATTATTTGGTCTGAAGGGCTACTTAATGAATTTTGGGGAGCTGTTGAGGGCCATATGTGTGCATGAGTACACACACATTCATTCACACTCACTCACTCTCACATGAGCTCCCTGCAGCCAGGCTAATGCTGGTGCCAGAGCAGCAGTGGATTCCTACTCAGGCCTCTAGCGTCCAATCTCCGCTCTTTCCCCACCCATGCTGCCTAGCTTGGCTGACACTACCAGGCAGGAATGGGACAGAGAGCTTTGCTGTGCCGGAGCAGAGCTGTGGCACTTGCAGCCCCGCGGAACCAAGCTGTGCAGACTCCAGCTTGGGGGTGGGAATCAGGGCAGGGGGCTCAGTTCCCTCCCCTTGCCCAGTTCTCCTGCCAGACAATGCTGGGCAGGCAGGCAGGGCTCTGGCCTCTGTTGGCATGGTGGGGAACGCCAGGCAGAAGCAGCCCTGCCCACCCATCCACCTGCCTGGCATCACAGTGTTGGACTCTGTTTCCCAGGCTGCCAGGCAGTGCTGGGCGGGTGGGCAGGGCTGCTTCTGCTCCGTGTCCCCCACCTCACCAGCAGAAGCTGGAACCACTGCTAGGGGCTCAGTGTTGCCAGGTGTACAATAATTATCATATTTGTATGATAATTTCAACCCTTGTTCCATGTACAATCAATAATAGTAAAAGTGTTCAAAGTTTTTGAGGCAGCTCATTCTCAGAGAATCTTAACTGACTTTTGGGTTTGCTGTCAGCACTTTCATATGACTGCTTGCCTTGAAATAAAGAAATGCTTCACTTTGATGACTCAGTTCTCACTCACTCCCTGGTGATGTACAGGGAGCAACATAAAGTAAATAAGAAGACTTATTTACATACTTTTCCAGTGTATCTTAGTTTTCAGCAAATATGATAATTTTGAGCTCCTAGTATGATAATTTCATATTTAAGACCTGGCAACACTGCATGGGCCTGCTTATTGATTCTATTCAGCCCATGGGTAGGCAATGGCTCCAGCCTCTGCTGGCTCCATGGGCAGGATAGAATCAGTTGGCAGTCTGGATAGAGCCCAAGAGCTGGATTTTGCCCACCCCTGTTCTATAGTGTAGAATTCATCCTTGGCAACATCTGCATCACTTCATTCTGTGGTGTATTTAAAAACGAAAAACCACAGTGTTTTTAAAGTGTTTGTTCTTACAGCAGCTGTTGGTCCAAGGTTTATAATTTTCCTTCACCCAATCTCTTTTTTTCCTTCTTTTTGTACTCTTATTGTTTGCATCTGTCCTGAATGTTAAAAGCGTTTGTGTTCATCATGTGTTTCTTCTATTTTAAGTTGTTTTCTGTAACTTGTTCAGCACCCTGAGTATCCTGAAGGAAAAGCAGGAACATTTTATAAATAGTTATTATAGTTTAACTATTGTAAGTTTGTTCTTTAAAGACCTGGATTCCAAAATAAGCATAAAAAAACAAAACAATATTTTCTCTTCAACAGGGCATGACGTTTTTAAAGTGTCTTTTGTATTTCCAAATAAAGACAAGTATGGTAAGCGTTGTTTGAAAGTTAATACTTACCTGTGTTGACTATAATTAAAAATGTAATTCAAGATTAAAACTTAATTTGTCATATCAAAAAATGAAGCAGATGAGAGTTTCAGAATCAGAATGTAACACACACACAATGAGGTCTCATCCTTAAAATTTCATAGCAGTTGCAAAGGTCAGGTTTTAAGAAATGTTATTTAAGCAGGAACGGGGAATATGTCCTTTCTTGTTTAGTATTAAACTAAAATCCCTAATGATACATGGAGACTGATGTGAGTGAATATGTTTTCTCAGGGTTCCTACACAGAAGTGCCTAAAATTCCTAGAAAGTTATTCCAAACCTTAAGACCGGTTCCCCTGAAAATCTGGGTTTATGCTATCATGACTTTGACTGGGAAAATGGGTTGGTACCACTTTTAGGGTGAAAACCCAGTTACACTGAAGACAGTGTAAAAGTCCCATTGACTTCACTCAGCTAGGGATTTCATTTTTAGCCTTTACCACCTAGGCTCCTGCAATCACATCTGCTTGGGAAGGCATCTATACGTGCTGGAAGCTCCACTGAAGTCTGTAGAGTTCTGCACTGACACAGCATTTTGCTTACACTCATTTGATTGCAGGGTCAGGACCATAATAAATCAGTGAGGTCAATTCAAAGTGATGCAAAATACATTTCTCTTTTAAAGCTAGTCCTGCCCGCATTATAGTCAGTGGTGAAATTCCCACTAACTTCAATGGTACAGGATTAGGCTTATGGTTTCAGGGATGTCTACTGGACCTCCCAGTTACTGCACTTTGGTCCATGGAGTGGGTATGGTATTGATAATAGAGAACATAGATTTGTAAAATTTAAAGCCCAAAGGAACTGTTCCAATCTTCCACATAAGGAAGAAAATGAATTGAATGACTTAATAGATTATTTTTTATCTCTTACTTCTAGAAATTGTCAGATTAAGTCTTTTGGTTAAATATTGTCTCATTCAGAGTAGTGATTGAATTTCGTTCTACTGAGAGTAATTGGGGTTTGGGAGATTACCCTTTTCCCTCGTTTGTTTTAGACGGTGAGTGTACAAGAACACCGGATGGTGTTCTTCAGAGGAATGGAAATGGAGTTCATACCACCCCAAATGGAATCACTTACACAGGAAACTGGAAAAATGATAAGGTAAGTTTTAAGGTAACTTAAAAATGATAAGATAACAGAACGAAAGTATTCTGTTTTTAAACTGCTTGCAAGCTCGCAACATTGACCTGGAGCAATCAGCTGGTATGAGAAGAACTAGATACCATTCATAAATATACCAGTGTTTCTCAGCAATTGACTAGAGTTGTAAAAAATTAGCTTTCAGTGGATAGCCCCTATGAATAGACAAAGTATTGAATGCAATTAGAAGGTAGTCCCTTCTGGCCATGTATGGTCTAGCATGGCATTCTTTTTCTCTGCTTTTAAAGAGAGTGTCTGGGAAAAAAGCTCCATAAAGTAATGTCAAGTGAAAACAATTCTACTGATTTTCATTGTCTAAAACAAAATAAATGCAAAAAAAGTCCACTGATTATCTGTCTACAACCAAACTGCTAAAGTTTTCTGGTAGGTGCCAGTTTGGTAGAGTAGTGCTGATTTTGGGCACCTGTTCCAGATGAAAGTACAAGGCTTATGAGGAATTGGAGAGTGATGTTGACAGTGTTGTAAGCAGTATGAGAGCAAAAAGGAACACACAAGTCCTTCTTCTTAACTTATAATTTCCATGCTATGAACATATTAGCTGAGCAGTTTGAGTCCTGCTACATCACTTTTATTCACTGTCATTTAATAATGATTAGACATACAGGAAGTGTGTGCTGCAAGTTGTATCCACCCCAAGTGTCTTTTCAACTGTCCAAGCCTGAAGTGTATGAAATATATGCTTTTCATAGAACCACAGGAACTAGTACTGACGGGATCAATTCACCCCACAGCTTTATGGGATACAGCAGCGAGATACTATTCACATTCTTCTGAATGAGTGTTTGGAATGAGGGTTCCCTGGCTCTATCTATTCAGTATGGGTACTTAAGAGTCTATATTTCCACTGCTTATCCTCCAGTGATTTTGATCAAAACCTGAACCATATTTGAAAGCCTTGTGTAACCAGGAGCCTGGCTTCAGAAAAGCATTACTCACCCTATCCGTTTTTATTAATAATTCAGTAAATTCAAAGAACATATCTGAACACATAAGTATATATTAATGTTTAACCTTCTTCATCCTCTAACTGAGCACAGATGAATGGTTTTGGGAGGCTTGAACATCCATCAGGTGCAGTTTATGAGGGCGAGTTCAAGGACAACATGTTTCATGGAACTGGAACATACACATTTCCTAATGGAGCAAAGTACATTGGAAATTTCAATGAAAACAAGTAAGTTTAAAGCAAAAAATCAAAAGCTGTGCTGGCTGTTCCCTACAAACTTGCTGGTTTTAATATTGAAAATATTAAATCTTTAACTAAAGTTGACCTAGCATGCGAGAAGATTTCTTTTGCTGTCCTGAAAGCTTGCACTGGGTCTTCACAGCTTGCACTGGCATCACTTACTTGCTCCAGCTCAGACAAAAGTCCATAATTAATTCACAGTCAATATTCCTCCTTATGCTCAGTTTTCTGTTTTATTTTGTTACTAAGTTTCAGGGGTAACACCAAATTGAGAAGAATGAATCAGTTTTAGATTTTTTTCATAGTAGTTATTTAAATCAGCTTGTTTGCAGACTCAAAAAAAGAAAGGATGACATTGATATATCTATTTTATTGCCTGCAAGGGCTAGATTTTTTTTAGGACAAAAATTAAAATTCTGAACTAATGTGGGAATGCTCCAGCTAAGAATGCCTACACACACACACACACACACACAGATCTCTCTCTCTCTCACTATATATATATATATTTAATAGCCAGAATAATGGAAAAACTGTAGTGTTGCCCTTATAAAACATTAGCTGAGTCTATTTATGTGGAGTTGTGAATAAAAGGTTTTTTATTTTGAATTAATGAGAGACTCTATGTCTCTGGAACACATGCTGGTTAATGATTTCATAATCCATAACTGGACCTAATGAGAAAATTGACTGTAAAAATGGCATTGCTGTGTTCATATTTATCCTCCTTAAATTACTTCTCATTCAAACTTGCTCCATTTTTAGGTTATTATTAGATTCTTCTAACTTTCCCTTCAGTCTAATAGCTGAAAAAGAAGCTGCAGGTTTTTTTCTGTATTGTTGATAAGAAACAATGAAGAATCTTGAAGCAGAATAGTTTTGCTGGTGATGCAGAGAAGACAGACTACCATATTTACTCAAATTCAAGATGAGTTTCTCCCCCCCTGCCCCATTCTAGATTCAAGTGCATGTGGTGGGGCAGGGCAGGTGCTGTGATTCAAATTCCAGCCCAACCTAGGTTTGGCATTGGAGCTGCAGCCCCAGCTACAGCTGTAGCTCCCCGTGCCACCTCTGCCCCACCTTTCTCTCCTCCAGCCACCTGCCCCCCCAGAACTGTAGCTGCCTCCCTACAAGTCCAGCCACCAGCCCCCACCCCCTTACCCTCCAGCTCCAGTTCTAGGCCTGGCTCCAGCCCTGCTTAAGCTCAGGACATGGAGCACATGGTCACTCCAGCCCTCACTCATCCACACAGCAGTGACAGCAACTGCAGCCTCAATTCCTTCTGGGCAGGGACCTGAGTAACCATGTATTTCCTGTTCAGGCTGGAGGAGGGCCAGAGCCTGAGGGTAAGCAGCAGCAGGGGGTGCAGGCACTTTGGGGGAGCAGGTACCAGAGGTTGCAGGCATGGGGGTGGGGCAAGTGGTAGAAGAGGCAGGTGCTGGGGTGCAGACACTTTAGGAGGCAGGAACCAGGATGTACAGACACGGGGAGGGCAGGCCAAAGTGGAGGCAAGTAGTGTAGGGGACAGTCAGCAAAGGGAACAAGGTGTGGGGGACGGGCAAGAGGCAGGGGCAGGCCATTTGACTCTTCCACTGCCTGCTTCCCCATGACCTTCTGCCCACTGCCTCCCCTTCCACCTGCCCCCTATCACCGTTTATCTTGCTGCAGCAGTGGTGGGGAAGAATTTAAGATGGCCCTCCAACAATTAGATTCTATTCAAATGCTAAACTTATACATTTTCCATGTATAGAATCTAATTATTGGGGGGTCATCTTAAATTTAAAGTTGTCTTGGATTTGGGTAAATATAGTATATTAGCACTAGAAATATGAACAATTATAATTAAGCCATCAGATAAATAGAGTACTTTTTCTTAGAATCTACTTGGATATCAAGTGTGAACCTGCAAAATTAAGCCAAGTCTCAGTGTGGAAAATTATTATATTAATTTTAATGCTTTGAAGGAAAAATTTAAAGCACTAAAATAACTGTCATAAACTCAATTTAAAACTACACTACTCAGCATCCATACTTGCTATTTGTCAGTTTTCTTTTAAAATCTGTTTTAAAGATTCTGTGTGCAGTATGGTATCAAACAAAGTACATAAATACTGGTAAATATTCTGTACAAATAAAATGGTGAATGCCTGCTATTTTGCCAAGATTATCTGGAAAAACATTAGAGATGTTAGCTCCTGCATGTTTTCTCTCAAAAGTCTTACAGTGTGGGACAGTTTTTAATGTTATTAGGAAATAACATAGATGCTAATGAGACATAACTGGTACATAGGTCTTTATCTGGCTCCTTGCACAGTGCTAAATATCACCAGTTGCCTTGTCAATCTATTATACTGTTTGACCCAGGAAGGGTTAGAGAGTGTTGTTCTGGGTCCCTATGAGTAAATGAGTAGAAATTATTATTAGCATTATTCCTTGATGATTAACTTCTTTATGTATACTGGGACTCATTGTATGAGCAACGCATCTTGTGAGCAAAGTTCCTCTTGAGCCCCTTGAAGCTCGATTAAATCTCAGGAAAACAAATTTCCTACCTGTAAAAAAAAAAAAAAAAAGAGGGACAATGGAACAAGCTGGCTAGGAAAACTGTGAAAGCTCTTTCATTGGAGATTTCCAGGAAGAGGCTAGACAGGCTTCTGTGTTGGATGCTTTAGGAATAGCAGATTCTGCATCTCTGCAGAGCATTGGACTGGATGGACCTTGAAATGTCTTTCAACCTTAGGACTCTGTCATCTCGCCCAGGCTACTATGAATTTTGCTTGCCTCTACAGACTTTTTTTTCTGAAGCATCCTCTAGGCTAGGGTGTACTTTATTTACAGTTCTCCCTGACAGTCCTTTGTGGGTTATTCTGTGGAGTCTCAGGGATTCTGGTTTCCACCTTTCTGTGGATTAGCTAGAACAGGGGTCAGCAACATTTTTGGTCAGAGTGCCAAAAGCACCCCAACCTCAACTTGTAAGATGTTGGCATGCCAGGGGCAGACAGCAGGGGAACTGCAAGGGGGCCCAGTTCTTGCTGGGGCAGCACAGTCCCAGGCCCTTCCTTGCCCTCTGCCCCGAGGTCACCTGCCAAGCAAAATGCCTTAGTCTGACATGCATGCTGGGGGTTGCCAACCCCTGAGGTAGAAGATGACTGAATACTGAAATACCACCATACCAACTTGCTTCCCTCTGTTCTCAAGAAGAACCCCCCACCCCAAGGCTGCTTTTAACATTTAAGTTTGCATATTCAAAGAGACCTGGAACACAGACATTTCTTCTGGATATGCTAATGAACTTAACTACAACTTTAAAATACAACAGATGTGCAGGTTTTGAGAAATTAATTGAAAATGACAGTTAGGAGTTTTCCCACAGAACCTTGCAAAACCTTGCACTATAACAATGAATATTGTTAAAGACAGGACAAGGAAATGGGAAGCGGCCATTGATAGCAGTAGGATCCTACAGTTTCATGCAGACTCATGCAAATATACATCTTGAAGGTGCCACTATTTTATCAAAATCAGGATATGTTCTATGGAGCTTAGACTTAATAACTTCAGGTCATGACTGAGGTAGTGAAGTTGTGTCTTCCTGGGTCATCTGCTGGGAGAAAGCTGCTGAATACTCATTGCTCCAATGGGAAAGTAGGTGTTGCCTGGCTGGCTTACTTCTCTTGTTGCCCCTTTTGAAGTCTTTCTGGCTTATGGGTCAGAAACTATAGACTGCTGTGGGGAAGAAACTGGAGGGAGCCATTTGCTTTCTGTGGCTGGGAAGAGATGTTGGGGTCTAGTTTCGAACTCCTACTGGTCTGCTGCTCCAAATAGTTGTTCTGGAACACTTACCCCAGATATTCCCAGTACATTGATTGCACTCTGCTTTATGCTGTTACAGGCTGGAAGGTGAAGGAGAATTTATAGATACACAAGGCCTGGAGTGGAGTGGCACATTTCATTACACAGCAGCACCGGGGCTGAAGCTGAAGCTGGATATGTAGCTATTTTACAAGGAGCATTAAATGTATTGTATACCATTCTTACGGGGAATTTTCACTTGGCACCCATGACCAAGGTTTTTACTAACATTTGATTTATTAACACATTTATTAGAAACAATTTCCCAGGAGACCTTTTGTAACAAAATAAAATAAGCATTGATTTGTTCTTTTTGGTTTGATCTGTAGATCATTATGTAGTTCCATTGTAGGAAGTTGAATGGATCGAATCTGAGACAAAAGGATGAATTTAGAATCAGAGCAAGAATTACTTTAATCAGGTTTTGAAAGTAATTAAATGTCTTAGAACTTAGATTGTAGTATTCATTTCAATAAATGTGAGTTTCAAAGAAAGCAGGACGCTTTAGAGCAGGGGCTGGCAAAATATGGCCCGTGGGCTGGATTGGCCTGCTATGCAATTCCATCTGGCCCGTGGGGCCCCTCCATAAGCTTTCTGGAAGCCCTGGCCCTCACTGCCCTCTGCAGACCAGTACCTCCATGCGGGAGGTGCGGCTCTGGTTGCTAAGCAACCACCTCCACCCCAGCCTGGCCTGACCTGCCCGAGCCCCAAGCCAGGGGCACTGGACACAAGAAGCTTCTGCCTGGCAGAGTTCGTGCCTGCCCCTTCCCTCCCCCCCACCGCCCAGTGGCTGTTTCCAGCTTCCCTACCTGCAACCATGGAAATGCAGGTATGGGCCCCCCTGGGCTGGGGCCAGGGACTCCCGCTGCGGGGGGAAGGGGACAGGAGTACAGGGAGCCACGTGCTGTGGGGCCGAGTTGGGTTGGTCCAGCATGCTGCAGGAGCATGGAAGCTGCACGCTATGGAGCCAGGTGGGACTGGCCCTGCATGTTGTTACCACGTGTGGCCAGGGACTGGGGTGGGAAAGCTATTGGGCTGGGTGGGTCTGGCCCCACATGCTGCACCACCTATGGCCAGGGACTGGGGTGAGAGCATGAGGAGCTACGTGCTAAGGGGCCAGGTGGGGCTGGCCCCACTTGTTGCCACCATATGCAGCTCCAGGGACTCACACACTCCAGGGACTCAGAGGACCTCCCCCCCGCAACACACACCCACACCCTCCTATACACCCCACCCCTCACCATACCCCCAACACACACCTGCACCCTCCCACAGCCCTCCTGCACCCTTCCACACCCCCTGGCCCCCACTGTACCCACACACACTCACACTATCCCACACATCCATACCCCAACCACATACCCTGCACCC